TTAAAATAAATTAAAATAAATTAAAATAAATTAAAATAAATTAAAATAAATTAAAATAAATTTAAAAAAATAATAACATAAATAACTAACACTTCTTACAGCTCGTCCTGACATGAAAAATATGATGAGATAATTTATAAAAACGATAAATCTTGATGTCCTGATACCTTGACAGCCTAGGCCCCACTTAAATTCCAATTTCGAGTGCGTACGATCGTCGTTAGTGCATCGTCGGTGGCTTGCCGCTTAGATTTATAACCTTATTTATTATGATCATGTAGCTGTGCGATAAATAATGGTGTACGCGGATTTTATATAAGTTTTTTTTATTTTAGAGTGAATTAATCTAAGAAGTTTCACTTCTATCGTGCATTCGATAACACACTCTTTCTTACTACTTAATTTTTTGTGCTACTGATATGATTCCAAATAACGTTACTTAATGGTTCTTTCGCCATTTATGACGGAGATACAGGTATTTTTACTAACTTTGCAAATTTCTTCATCGTTTAATAACTTGCCAACCACCCTTATATGTTATTGAAATTTGGCACATGTATTCTCTACAACTTACCATAATCTATTAAGGTATTAATAAGAAACAAAATGCAGTTCCATCTTTTTAAAGAAATTAATAAATTTGTCCATTTTATAACAACACAATACAAGTCGTTAAATTTGTAACCATATTTGGAAAAAGCACAAAAAAAATTATATGCTTTTAATTTTTAAGTAGATGATTTTATTACTAAAATTAACTGTTTTTATATTATTTTTAAACTAAGCACATTTTTAAAAGTTACATGTTATGCGTGTACACTATAATAAAATGTTCTTACAAGGCCGTATTTATGACCAAATATCATAATCATTAGTTTTTAATTAATCACTGTTTGCCGTACCAACATCATAACCGCTAGACTCTAGGAAAAATTGATTCAAAGCATTGTTTTTGGTAGGTACTGATAGGCACAGATATATAAAAGTACCAACATAATATATAGCTTTTAAAAATTCAGTTGGAATTAAATTATCCTAATTATAACTTATTGAAGTTACTTAAAAACCTCTTTAGTTTCATTTTTTATCTCCAAAATGCTCAAAAATAACAATTTAAACGTTTTATTTTAGCAGTAAAATCATCTGCACAAAAACATGACTAATTTTAGTTTTTTCTGGTCTCTTTAAATATGGAAACGAACTTAACTAATTTAGAAATGTACTTTTGTGTAACTCAAAAGTAACAATTTAAAGTTAAAAATGTTTGTAGTAAAATACACTCACCGACTTAAAATTAGATCCATTCAAAATAATGATTTTTTTTAAAAATGCTCTAACTTTCAATTGTGGAGGCTAATTTATTTAAAGTTTTTAGCAACTTTTAGATAAAATACTGTAGTTTTAAGATTATTATTCGGACATCTAAAAGTAATTTAGTACTCGCCGGATATACAGGTGGGAAAAGAAAACAATTTTTTCCTCTACTTTTGACACACCCTGTAGGTTAATTCTGCTAGTAGATCTGCACACAATTAACTTTGTCAAGAAGACTGATTTGTGTATAACACTTTGTTTTTTTTATTTACCCCGATATTTTTTTGTGAAATGTGACGGTTTAAAGAAAATGTTACATTTTAGAAACGGTCATAATTTAAATGACGGTACAGAATAAACTACAAAATAAGTAGAGTGCTGTGGCCAACTCACAATATGACAACTGTCACATATTCGTTACTTGGCAATTGCAGTTTAATTATCAGCATAACAAATATTCATTATCAGCATAACATCATGGTTTTAACGCCTACTGATGCAACATGAGCAGTTGCTCTAGTACAAGACGGTAGGTCTCAGTATTATACTTCTAGAATATTGGGTGTTACAAGGTGTAGCGTCCAGAGACCTGTACAACGTTTCAATGAAACTGGTAATTTTTCGAGACGAAGAGGATCTGGCAGACGACGTTCTACAAATGTTCGAGATGATCGTATTATAACATTAACAATTATAACAAGAAATACTACTGCTGTCATAGCTCGAAATCGTTTAGAAGAAGTACGTCAAGGTTAACTAAATATCGATTCGAAGGCGATTATGAGAACATGGATTACGCTCCAGAAGACCTGCAACTGGTCCGGAGTTACTTAGGAATCACAGAACAGCACGTCTTCGATTTGTCAGGGAGCATCAACATTGGAATGTCGATGACTGGAGTAAGATTTTATTTTCTGACGAGTCGAGGTTTTGTTTACGTTCTCCTGATGGCCGTGAAAGAATATACCGAAGAAGAGGCAGAAGTTTTGACCAAGCAAATTTTTCCACAAGACTCTGTTATGGAGGAGGATCGGTAATGGTTTGGGGCGGCATAAGCATGGAAGCTCGTACTGATTTAGTCATTGTTGGCGGCGGAGCAATGACAGCTTACCGATATATTCGTGATGTGCTAGATCCATATGTAATTCCATTTGCACCGTTTATAGGAAACGAATTCATGTTTATGCATGACAACGCTCGACCACATATTGCGGATTGTATCTCAATATTTGGACGAAACAGAAATTCAAAAGATGAACTGGCCATCAGGTAGCCTAGACCTCAATCCAATTGAGCATGTCTGGGACATGATGGGCAGACGAGTTCATAACTGAGTTCCTTCTTCAAGTATTTTAAATTTTTTGAGAGATGCTTTGGTCCAAGAATGGGATTAGATGGAGATTCGACATCTAATAGAGGGTATTCCACGACGCATTAAGGCAGTTATTCGCGCTCGTGGGGGAATTACCCGTTATTAGCTTGTAATAATTATAAGTTTATTTTTTGTTTGATTTGTTTATAAAATTATGTATTACTCTGCTAACACTGAATAAAAAAATTAAGAATGTTACATTTTCTTTAAACCGTCACATTTCACAAACAAATTTAGATATCGGGGTAAATAAAAAAACAAAATGTTGGAAACAAATCAGTTTTCTTGATAAAGTTAATTGTGTGCAGATCTACTGACAGAATTAACCTACAGGGTGTGTCAAAAGTAGAGGAAAAATTGTTTTCTTTTCCCCCCTCTATATCCGGTGAGTACTAAATTACTTTTAGATGTCAGAATAATAATCTTAAAACTACAATATTTTATTTAAAAGTTTCCAAAAATTTTAAATAGTTAGAGCATTTTTAAATGAATCATTATTTTGAATGGATCGAATTTTAAGTCGGTTAGTGTAGTCTATGCGTAAAAGTAATAAACACCGCTGGATTTATGTTTTGGGTACTTCTCAGATAATGTTAGGTTAGGTTCATTGCACTAGGTTTGCAAAGTGGTCGTGTTAATGCACTTGAAACCGAAAAATCAACCATACAAGGTCGATAGATACTTAAAGTAGTTCCAACGAACATGTAAAAGATATTAGCAGGAGGCCGGCGATAACTTGCTCAGGGGGTGATTTAAGTGGGTAAAGGCTAAAATTATTGGGAAAGAGAGAACCTGTACCGACTCTCTATAAGGGATTTCCACATACCAAAAAAATATCAAGAAGGTACTTCATCGAAAACTATTTTTTTGGGCCAGTGTATCTAAAAATATACACAATCAAAAACTAAAAAGAAAATAATTTGAAAATAGAATGAATTATTTTATCACATATAAAATAGCTAAAGAAACCAAATCGGAATAAAAAATAAAAAATCGTAGAATTTGAGGGTGGGCTTTGGCGCTGGACGTGTTAAGTATTTAGGATGTAATAAGATGCTTGATTTAAAAATGTATTTATATACTTGCTGGATGTAACAAGAATGGCAGTTTTTTTGTAGAGATGGTATACTGTGACGTAACAACTGGATGTCACAAGATGCAAGGTTTTTCTGGATGTCACAAAGTGTTGTTAATAAAAATATATACCGTGTATACTTTGGATCTCACAACGATAGGACGTTTTATTTTTTTAAAATGTGTATGGTTGTGATATTTTTCGCTCAGCCATAATATTTTTTTAATTGAAAGAAGTCATATTTTTATTTTTTCCCTAAAGTGTTTGTAAAGGGTGGATGTCACAAAGTCAAAATTTTTGCTGGATGTCACATGATACGCTGGTCGAGTATATATATATATATATATATATATATATATATATATATATATATATATATATATATATATATATATATATAATATTTACATAACATAGTCCATATAAAATTTAAAAGACAATAAATAGGTAAAAACTGTATCGTATTTGGCACGTCACATTTGGTTTAATAATATGATTTTATTTATTTATTATCTACAAGAAGTAAAAAGGCTTTCATGGAATAACAGGAATATCACATCTGGTTGTTAAAAAGACATAATTTTTTGGAAGTTTCAGTAACGTTGAAAAACAAAGTAGCGCTACTGAAAAGTCTACATTGTTTCGTCACAAAAGTAATCGTTTCTACGCTAGGCTTAGACGGCTAAGTGTCCGTACCATAACTGAAAACAAGAGGATTAACAAAAGTTACAATATAACAATGTACTTTGTAGGTTTCATTAATTTAACGTTTTTATGCATAGTGGGTAGTTAAATGACGTTCTCCTTGGTAAGCAGAAATTCTGTCTCTGCTTTTTTCCTTCGGATATAATTCAATACATGTTGCGGTATTAGCCAAAAAATTAGCTATTTTCCGAAATAGGGCATTTCCGGTATTTTTAAAGGTATCGAGATACTCAAATCACCCCATGGCTCAATGTATCAAAAATTAGGTATAGAAAAATGGATCTTGTACCTGTTTTAAATTAGTCAATCTGCTCGTATTTTGTACGGAACTAATAAGTCGATTTAGAGATAATTACCATCGCTGATATATCTAAATAAATATAAGTAATAAAAAAGTGGATCCAGGTAAAATCTATGTGGTACAACGAAATGTAATCTACCTTTAACTCTGATTTCAAGCGATGTAGGTACATTTGTACAAATTATACATTCAGAAATAATAAATTGTTTATAGGAAGAAAACATCTCAAAGATATTAATTACTGTTTATTATTAAATACTATAATTAATTAATTAATTAATATCTTTAAATATCTATCTAGATATTGGTAAAAAAAACTTCTACATTATAAATCTCCATAACTTGTATTGTTTCTTCTATCCTAGTTCTATGTATGTCCTAAAAACAAAATAGAACAAATTTAAACATTCAGATATCAATGTAATTTTTCAACACATACAATGTGTCTACCTAAGCAAAGAATACCTACCCAAGAAGCGAAACTAAATGGGCGATTTGTGGACAAAAAACTGGCAAGTTTTCTCAGTGTTTTAGAGGAGGTTTAACGTTAAATATAGCTGTCAATTTATGTAGAGCAACGTTTGGTATATTATTTTTAGTATTTTGTGAACTATGCAGTATAGTTAAGTAGTTGTATTTAACTAGAAATATGATGAGTATTAAAATTTATATTACATGAAAAAAAATACATTGTGTTATTCGTAAATTTTATTGAACGTTCTTGCATCTGGCTGTCAATGTTTTGTTTTAATTTCTAAATCAGTATTATCTATAATGATAATTTACGCCTACGTATTATGCATCGTTTAATTTCTTAGTCTTTTATTTAAATATGTTATTTTTTTGTTTTTCAAACCATTCGAATCAAAACAGTAAATAAACAATAATACAAAACAATAATTAAAATATATAACAAACTTACTTCAAGGAACCAAGTCGCTGCTATCAGGATGCAATCGAAATTCATTTACAGCTACCTACAGTACTTCTGGATATGTAACATGTAAAGGGTGGGTTACCACGGCACTTAAGCCTCACTAGGCCCATTGTGTCTCCTCCTAAAATTATAGGCACCTCCTAGCTCTTGAGCCAGCCTACGGATTTAATGTAGTTGAAAACGTCGCCAAGAGGTGCTTCTCTTATATCGGCTGGTGTTAGCCAATACTCGCCGAAAATAAATCTTTTAATAAATGAGAGCTACTGGCAATCGTAAAGGATATGTTCAATGGTCTCATATTTTTGTTCGCACCACGTGTAGACAGCCCTATGATATCGAGATGCTTCTGTACTTAGCAATGACCATTCAGAATGCCTGTGATCAGATGCAGATTCTGTCTAGTCATACTCAAGTATTTGTTTGTTGTAGTATTGTCAGGATAACTTGAAAGATCCCTGGTAACTCAGCAGTTTCTTGTTTCATCCCATTTTTACTTCAATTTAGCAAGGGAATATTCTTTAATTAGATGTGTCACTACCGATGTTGTCAGTCCAATAAAAGGGCCAGGTCCAAAAAGTATTGAGTTGGCCGCCTTCTTGGCTTGTGAATCAGCAATAAGAGGCTACGTTTCGATGTGGCGTCACCTTTGATCTATCTCAAGGTGACCACATTATTGGATAGATACTCTTGCAAAAGCTTCGTGACATTCTAGTACTAACCCTAAGTAAATTCGTAGTCTGTACAGGGTAAGTAGTGCTTATCTGTTGTCTGTATAAAAGAGCAGGTTCCTACCAGTTATATTGTTTTTGTTGATTCCTTTTGCTGGTATGAGAACCTCCGTGAGCTCCGTGAACTACAGTGGCACTATTGCTAACAGCTTATTTTATATTGAGGTATAAGGAATTGGAGTATATTCCACATTCTGAGCATTGTTTTGTTTTAAAACCATCGGTGTAGGTATGAATCGTACCTGTCACTTCCAGCTCTTCTATTTGTTCATGTTCGTCTGAAGCAGCGGGAGCGTATCGGGCGCCTTTTGCCAAAAGCGACGTCTCGCCTCAATCCATCGTACATCAGGTTCTATTCCAACCGTGCAGAGGCGTGTCATTTTCATCAGAGCAACCTTCTTGATGTAAATACCAAGGGGAGTGAGACTAAGAACGACTTCCATAGCTCTGGTTAGTGTGGTTTTTATGACTCCTGTAATGTTGAAACATGCTGTTATTTGAATTTGTTCTATTTTGCGGATTGCTGTCCATTTTTGAATTTTCGGTACCCAGACAACTGCACCGTATAATAACATAGGTCTTATGATGGCCATATATGTCCATGTGACGACTTTGGGGGAGAAACAGAAGCCCCAGGTGCGCTTCACGGTTTGGTGGTATTGTTCATAAGTAATGTATGCTCTTTTGAGTCTGTTTTCTAATTGTAAGTTCTATGTTAACTTGTTGTTAAAGGTGCTACCTTGCAAGACAGGTGAAGTACTTCACCTCTGTTTGAAAGTTTTGTTATGTGTTTATGAGCTCTGCAGGTTTTAATTCCATTTTCATCTTTTTCCTAGTGAAAGGGATTATTTCTGTCTTCTTAAAATTGATAGACAGTAACTGGTCCTTGCACCACTGTTCCATAATTGTTCCTAAAATTCCCTATTTGCAGAATGACGAGGTCATCTGCCTTCGCTATTGTGTAGTGACTGTGATTATTGTACCTACAATACTTATTTAGTTATTAAAATAATCTATTTGACATAATGAACATAGTAAGAATGTTCTGTCTGTCATTGTTACTTTAGTATGTGTTTAATTATTATGAACCAAACGACAAAAACTGATTAATTTTTATACGTTTCCCAGTGTATTAAGTTCCCTTGCTTTGGTACATACGAAAACTCATTTAGATTCGGTTCTTGGGTAGGTATTCTTTGACCTAAGTACTTCGCTGATAGACAACTTTTTCCTATTAATTTAACAAATTAAAAAGTTTTGCATGGTCTAAAATCTAAAATGCAACAAACATATATATTTTTTTTTCATACAATTATATCCGTTAAGCTTAAAAGATGTTTTCATTTTAGTTCCATTTTTTTAACATACTGTTTAAACAATTGGAGAAATAATTATATATTTTACACGCCAGAGAAGATATGACTTTTATGCGAGAGTATTTTTGACAATACTGAAAATTGTTGTAAAGAAATGTAGAATAGAATTAAAAACTACGTTATAATATGTAATTACATCTATCCAACATGAAATATATTCTAAAATGTTTCCTCTTTATTATTTGATCTAGGATCCACATTGATACAGTGACATATCTGTCATTAAACTTTATACTTTAAATAGTTTTAGAGAGAAAACTATAAAAAAATATTTTCCCTTAATCTATGTCCTCAGATCAGCACATATTTATGGAAAGTAGGCCAAATCTTATTTTATCAACCCATTTTATATCAGAGGCTTTAGTTAGGAGTCAAGTTCATGTGATATATACCGACTTCTCTAAAGCGTTCGACAGAATTGGCCATGTTATTTTATTTTATAAGCTTTCCTCTAAAGGTTTAAGCATTATGGATCAGAAAAATTAAAACAGTTATCGGAAGTTGCACAAGGATCAATTTTAGGGCCTCTTCTAATCACTATTTCTGGAATGATATTGTTGTTAACATCAATGACATAAAAGTTTTTAATATAACATTATCTAAAATAACTAATGGAAATTCATCCAATGAATGACTGCAAGCTTCTCCAATAATGTCTAAATAGTATACCAAATGGTGTGAAAGTAAGTCACTTCCATTAAATTCAGAAAAATGTTCTGTAATTTTTTTCGATAGGCGATAACTGTTTTTGCTTCTAATTATAAATTGCATATTATTATTCTTAACAAGTCAGAGTTGATAAGAAATCTTGATTGAGGTAACCTTCAATAAACATATGCAATTAATGGTGCCATCTGCCATCGATATTGTTAAAAATAAAGGTACTTGCGCTAACTTCATACATTTTGACAAACGTACGTTATAGATTTTAAAACTATTTTTTTAATATATTTTTTAATTTATTACTAAAACTGTTAACTACACACACTATATAATTAATTATATGCAGTTGAAAAAGGGATTTCGAGAAACTAAGAAAATAAAATAATTAAATTTTTCATTTTTAGATTTAAATTTACATAAGTATTGTGCTGAAACTAGGACAAATCTATTTTCATGTGTTATATCTTTTTTTTAATGTTATTTTAGTCACTATTTTAGTCACCATTTCCGCTCAATCAGCTTGTGGTACTGTAACCTACCGCACCCAGGTATCTTAATAATTTATTTATTCCATTTATTAAATATAATATTGCATTCTTATTAAATTCAAAATCCTTCATTTAACGAAAAATCTCCCAGACAATTAAATCTTATTTACGACATGTAGATCGCGGAGATATGCTTATGCTTATTTTTTAGGGGGGTTCGTAGAAGCAGAAGAAGGTTACCCAATCAAACAAAAAATAAGAGGTTGAAGTTTTTTTATACTATCGTAGAACACAACAAAAATAACAGAAAGAAAACAGAAACAGAAACCTATCGTATCCAAAATACCGAATATTACAATAAATCGTTAGACCGTGAACTATGTGTGACCTATATTAACTGCGTCACAGTTCAACGGCCACTGACTGCCATAGATAAATTAATATTAAAAGATAAACCGTTTAAATGCACGGCACTGGTAACAAGTGGTAGTTCCCAGCCATACTACTTGGAGCCACCGTCGCAAATAAGATGACAGCGATGTTGTCAGTTTCCATAAACTTTCATGAGATTAGAGTTAATTCAAACGCATAAGCTGCACCTTATTTTGTTTTTGTCGTGCTCGATACCATCCATACAATGGCCATACTATTGCTGATATATTTTAAAGAGAGGTTTGGCAACTGTGTTGATAACCTCGTTAAAAATAAAGAAAAGAATGGCGGAAGACGAAATAGTCGAAAAATGCACAAAAACCGTTATAAAATAAAAGTTATTATGATGTTGTGGATATAATTATCCTTCGATAGGTAAGTTATTATTAGGTTAAGAAGATTGATAAGTGCTGATTTGATGAAATTAATAAGTATTAACAATATAATTTAATAAGGTGTTAGATTTGTTTAAGGACTTTGTTTATCATTGTTTTCTTATAGCCTTAACGAAGTATAATTTCATTTTGGATCGATTTTCAATTCTTTTTTAATATACCTAATTGTAACAAAACATGTCTGGCCCTGGTAAAATTAAGTAATCTTTTTCAGCCCCTTAATTTAAATAAGTATTATTCTAATATTCAGCAGGATGGTTATTCAAATAAAACCTTTTTTCATTATCCTTCCGATATTAAAATTCGTGAAAATTGTTTTAAGAATTTACATTTATCTTTATATAATAAAATTCGCTATCTTTTTGAAGATCATTTTTGGCCAGATTCTTTTAGTAAAATTGCTTCAAAACATAAACGACTAATTGCAAATTCTGTACCAATTTTATTAGCTAATAGTACATCCAGTTCAACTATACTCAATACTCAACCCAAACAGTCAGATTTTAGAAAATGTTGAGGCTGAAGCACATACACAGTAGCATAAGATAGATTTGCTAATCTGCAACGAAAAACAAGAAATGATTTGCAAACGTAAACTTAGTATTAGTGATAAACAATTTGAACAACCCTCTGTTAAAAATGAAAAGTAATTTTCAAACTCAAATTTGTTAGATCAACTAGAACAGATTAGTTAAAATATAATTCAAATCGACCATTGCACTATGAGAAATAAACTGAAAGTTTTTTCTATAAACTAATTTTAGACAAATTAAAAATATTTTTTTTTATAAGAAAGGGCAACATTTTGATAAGAAAAATTGTTTAATAAGATGTAAGTATGTACACTTTTTTGTTTTTATAGGAAACCCCTGACACCTGCATCAAAATTTGGTCCAGTTTTCCAAGAACGAGAGGAGAATACTATTAATTCCACTTACAGTTGTTATTTGTACATGTTCTGTATGTAATAAATGTTTAAATGCACCTTACTTTTATTAAATGATTAAACTATACGTATATACCTATTGTTTCAAATATTTTCATTTATATTTTTTTGGAGTTTTATTACTTAAAAAACTAATATTTATGTTAAATACAGTATTTTAATGTAAATATTAGTTTTTTTTAAAGTAATGAATGCCAAAAAATGTAAATAAATAGTAAAGGACATTTGAATGAGCCGCGTTTAGGCTTGACATTCTTCTTTTTAATTTTCTTCTTTTATGTTGCTCTAACTGTTAAGTTAATCAGCCAAATGTGTAGCGTGCGACGGTGGCTCCAAGTAGTATGGCTGGGAACTACCACTTGTTACCAGTGCCGTGCATTTAAACGGTTTATCTTTTAATATTAATTTATCTATGCTGACTGCCAAAAATGCATCTCGCGATCGCCTCTATTGTCCGCCTCTCTCACCGCACTCCTTAGGTATCGAAATCTTACGTCATCGTACTTAGCGCTCGAGCTAGACGGACACACAATAAAAGTGCAATCCAGGCACACATTTTTATAGTTATTATTTAATTCCAACGGCCGGACTAAGAATGAAGTGCAGTTTGATTATTATTGGTACTTTACAGACTCCTAATAAATAATATATATAACCACGTTCGTAAAATATCCAAATTTCGTGTACGTGTCTGGGAACCTAGATCAAGAAACCACCATAAAACATTCTTTTCACCAAGTGATCATCATTAAAACACTTAACTCGCTTATCTGTCTAGTTTCGATGTTAAGACCGATTTCGAAAATATTTCGATACACGAAGCTCTCAAGGCACATAATAAATCAGTAACCCCCTTTGCACCCACACTCGTATTTCGCTGGAAACTAAGACACACAGAGACGTCACAAAAGCCATTAAAGTTAGTACAAGAAGTCAGACCCAAAAGAGCTCGTATTCATTCATTTTTTATTATTTGATGTGTAAGCATTCATTTTATTAATTTACATTCAAGCAATTAATTTATTATCTTTCCCCAGTTATATAGTTTGTACCTTTCCTAAAACGCTCTTCCTAAACGACGTCTATCCTACAATACCTCCTATCCCTGAAAGTGTCAACGTATCAACGCCCAAAGGCATGCCGTCCTACTCCATACGTTTCGAATGCTGTCACATTCCGCACCATCTAACAGCGGTATGCATAGTCGATCGCCAGCGACTCGCCAGAGATTCATTTCAGCGTATCGCCAGCGATCCGCCGGCGAAAACCCTAAAATCTGGCGACTCGCCGGAGATTGTCACAGGAATGTCATTTCACGCAAGTTTTTATTTTATTTTATAGGGATATAATAGGGAAATGACATTCCGGTGACAATCCCCGGCGAGTCGCCAGCTTTTTGGGCTTTCGCCGGCGGATCGCCAGCGGATCGCTGGCGATACGCCGAAATCAATCTCTGGCGAGTCGCTGGCGATCGACTATGCATACGGCTGTAAGTATTTCCTACCTTACATTCATTCCAATGCCCAACGTCCCATCGCTTTACTTCTCGATGCTTGCGGCCCCTAAAATATTTTCTTCATAATATCCTTGTCGACACCCTTCGTCACGTCTCGCACCACTTAAATATTTCCACCGTATATCTGTCTTAATGCAGTACCGTATTAAATACCTTCCTCTCCATCACGATGCTAGGTGCCTCGACGCAAAGCGACGCTCAACGCTGCGACGTACCTAAATCGACGCCGTCACAATGCTAGCTGGCATTAGTACATAATTTAATGTCTGTATTTTTAATGGTGAGTCAAAGGATTTATGTAACTTTCTTTGAGATACCACCGGGGTTTCATTTAAACGAGGGCTTGACATTTGCTGTAACCAATAAACCACATGGCCTTCGGGTCATATACCCTGAAAGACAGTTAGGATAGACCTCTGTTTACGACGGGTGAACTTTTTAATATTTTAATAGAAATAAAAAAAATCAATAATAAGAAATATACAGGGTTGTATTAGGTTATTTTAATAAAAATTATAATAATCAATATTAAAAAATATACAAGGTTGTATTTAGTCTTTTCAAAAGAAATTATAAAAATCAACATTTTAGCTATATACAGGGATGTGCTATCGTGGATAAATTGTACAAACCAAGATTGTACAATTTAACAATAAGTTAACAACTGGTAAATACACTGTTCATTAGCTCAAGGGGGGGGGGGGGCACCTACATGCTAAGCAATCCATTCTACTAGGTTTGAAACAAAGTATATGTGAAATCAACATACGAAGGTAACTAACTGGCGACTTAGCGCTGTTCGTTATTTCCGTTGGTCATTATCTCTATAATCGTCGAAATATTTACCTAAGAGGGTGCAACCTGTGTACATCTAGAATAGAATCAACGTCAACCCAGTAGTTAACCAACTGGCGAATTGGCGCTGTTCGTTAACTCCGTTGGTCATTAACCTAAATAAGAATATAAACATAAACACAGTAGTTAACCAACTGGCGAATTAACGCTGTTCGTTGACTCCGTTGGTTATCAACCTAAATAAGATATATCTTGATAGCCTATAAACGTGGTCTGCGTTTGAACGGGACTAAAGTGAGATCTCAACAAATAGTACCAATTGTAATATACTTCTAATTATTGCATCATATTTAAAGTATGAAAAATAAAAAAAGTTTAAATATAAATTTGTCTGGTTTTCTTTATCAATTTGCACCAAACTTTGTATCGAATCCTGGTTTACTGAGATTAACATTATCACAACGGGGGTATATAAATGATCAATTAACTAGATTATCACTTTTACTATTAGAGGAAAAAGGCCAAATATATTAAGTATAGAAACTAAAGTAACTTGTGAGGTAAATAATAACGTTTCAGAGAGTAAAAACTACGAACAAAAATAAGGGGTTCCGGGGGTAGGCAGTTACAGTACCTTATTCTTTATTCAAGAATATACTGCTTATTCCTTTGATTAATATTTTTACATAAAATTACAAAAAATTTCGGTTATTGCGTTATTGTATCCCAATATCTTTACCACATGCTTTTTCACCTGGTTTGTGATGAATATTGTATGTCAAAACACCAGATACCGACACTCCTAGTTCCTTTTTTCTTATCTCAGAAGCTGTCATCATTTCCTCTAAAAAGAAAAACAAAAATATGTACTATTTAAATTATTCTTAAATTCTTATTTCGCTCTATAAACGTTATATTTTTGTTAAATATTTGCTTAAAGAACACATTTCCTTATAGCATTGACATTTCAATCTTTTTTTTTAAATATATTTTACTTACTTTGAAATTTAGTGCATAAGGTCTGACATTGTTCTAAAGTATTAAAATTGTTCATATTTCCTCCACATCCGCTGTAGTTGAATATACTACATTCTCCTTTAACTATGTCAAAATACCATCGGTCTACGTTGCTTTTGCAACCCCCTATGTCTTTGGGCAAACCACAATGTATCTCTACAAAGGAAAAATGTTAAGGATGTATTTTACATTTGTTTTTTGGAAAGTGAAATAATGTTTTCAGAAAATATTAAAAATAAATATATTACAAAAAATAAACCCATAGTTAAATGTATGATCTACTCCTTATAAATACACCTAATTAACTTTTGAATCATGTAAATCGCCTACATCTTCTCTCAACTTTATTAAACACACTATTTTAAGATTATAACTATATTTTATTTCGTCTGACCCCCCTGCAAGGAAAACACTTACCATTATATTGCCTTGCTTCCTCTTGACAAGCTTTTTCCAAACATTCAACAGACTCTCTTAGCACATTCAAGCAATAATCCTTGGAGTTTTTCTTCGGTTCTGATAACTTTTTCTTGTAATACTCAGAAAATGGATAGAACTGTGAATTCGCCTCTGTCCTGGAAGGAAACCTGTACCTTTCTTTAAATCCTTTACCACAAGTAGCCGAGCATGGAGACCAGTCACTCCATACAATATCAGTGCAGTTTGGTCTTACCTAGAAACAGTGATTTTTAACAAATATTTATATAGGAACCAGATAAAGTAGTATGTGAACTTCTAATAACGTTTTGAATAACAGATAGTGTATCTTTCATGGATACCTATATAGTAAATTGAAATATATATCTTTCTATCTATTAAGCACAATAATATCATACTTTATACAGTCTATGTACTGTTTGTGACAATTTAAATTCAAATACTTTTTGGACCTGGCCCCTCTATTGGATTGACAACATCGGTAGTGACAAACCTAATTAAAGAACATTCCCTTATAAAATTTAAGGAAAGATGGGATGAACCAACAAGAATCTGTAAATTTGCCAGAGAGATTTTAAGTTATTCTGACTGAACATTGCCAACTACGAAAGCATCTCCATATCATGAAGATGGCAGAATCCGCATTATGCAGGGGATGCGAACAAGAACATGAGACCATCGGGCATATCCTCTACGATTGCCAGATGCTCCTATTTATTAGAAAATTTGTGTTCAGCGAGAATTGGCTAACACCGGCCGATATAAAAGAAGCACCTTTTGGCGACGTTTTCAACTATATTAAATCTGTAGGCTGACTCACGAGCTAGGAGGTGCATATCTACTTAGGAGAATGCACAATGGACCTAGTGGTGTAACTAAATCCATACGTCGTACTGTTCATTATTGATAGCATAAACAGTGTTACCCCTTCCTGTGATTCTGGCATTATAAGAATGGTAGGGAGCACTACTATCTCATTTTACCTGTATATCCCATTTTAGTCCTACTTTCCCTACACATCTAAAGGTTAATTATTAATCTCAGCTTTCTCACTGTTCTATTTAGGAGAATTTGATTAAAATCACTGATTTATTATAGTTCTATCGTTTAAAAGTAATAATTTTGATTGCCGGTAATCCTTGAGCCATGTCGACGTTAATTGAAAATGTACTTCAAATATCGCTTGATAATTAGAATAACTACTCGCTTTCTATTATCTAAATAGGACTTAAAAAACTTTCTCCACAATTGTCATAAAATTCTAACTTTTTTAAAAGATTTGTATGACTTACACAATCGAAAACCTTTAAAGGATCTAAGATTGTAGCTCATGAAATTATTTGATTAACTATAGATTCGATAAATTTTTATAGAACTGAGGACTTGATACCAAGTACCCTGTATATCTTTTTATATTTACTATTGGCACGTGTTTTTTATGTTTCAGTTGCCGTAATACGCAAGTAACCACCATGGGGTGTTAAATAGGGAATACTCACCTTTTGTTTTCTTTCACATTTGATATCACTATCACATTCTAAATTTTGCTGCAAAATCGGTGGTCTAACTTTTCCTGCCATACAAGTCTTAGCAGCAAACCTGTTCTTGAACTTCCTCTCCCTGGTCCTTACGCCTTTACCGCAGGTGACACTGCATCCAGACCACTCTGACCAAGGCCCCAATTCGCACATTGGATCTACAACCTCTCTCACCGGAGCTATCCTGCAATATTTCTGTACAGCCTCGCAGCTCGCCCTTTCTGTAAGTTTCCTGTGGCAGTTATATTTGGACTCTTCGTTCTTGTATTTTCTTTGCTTGTATTTGACTCCTCTACCGCAGGTTGCTGAACAAAGCGACCATTCTGACCACGGTTCTGTTTCGCAGGTATTTGAGTTGTCGTCCACATCATCCATGGTTGCCGAATCGCAAATTTTCTCGTACAATCTTTGGCGGGATATTGTTATTCTTGCTAAAGGCTTCATGGGTTGTCCACTGGTGTCGTAGAAAGGAGACCTTGGGTCGTTTGGGAAGTTAATTTTTAGTCTTTTTATCGGTTGTCTTGGGGAGGAAGGTTGGTCTGGAGACTGGAATATTTAGAAACTATTTAACAATGTGTACATCATAAAAATTATTTACTTACCATATATGTGATTCCGTCGTCAGTTCCAACATCCCACGGGTACAAATTAAGCAATTTAGATTCCACCCAGGTGCAGTTTCTGAGACAAAGCTCCAATCCTGAGACGCCAACTATCCAATCTGGAGATGGATCAATCATAGTCACCATGGACATTAAGTGATGACGATTGTCTACTCTAAATACAGCGAAGGTTCTTCCAGTTATATTTGGGTAACTCACTCCTCTAGCTTTGATGATTGTACGTATGTGATCGCTCTAGAATATTAAAGAGTAAAATTACTATGAATTAGATTATTGAAAGCTGATTAAAGATGATCCAAATTTGTTTTTTAATGATTGAGTTGTTAAATATTAAAAGCTGTATTTAAATTTTTAAACGTTTACTTTGGATTTTAGTTCACTTTCTAGCATCCTGGTATTTCCAAGCTCTGCTAATTGACGTAACCCTTCACTAGCTACACCACCGTAATTCCAAAAAGTGTAGTTGACGGTATGAGAGGCACCAATTATGTCGCTGAACCTTGTTAATCGTCCTTCTGATGGAAAATCTTTTGGATGTGTATTTCTAGACCACAAGCCTTCAAAAATCACCTACAAAAAATTGAGATAAAATTAAAGGACATTGATCAAATAAATATAGGTACCAGAATTAATATTATTTAGGTCCAAAAGATTTAAACTGCTTACTTCATACTTTGCTTCATCGCATGTACAGCAATGCTTCAGGATTTTTGGCTGAATGTCATCACTGTCAGGTGATTCTGCACACAGTGTTTTAGTTAGGTCTCCATCTTCGCTGTACCATATATCTACGGACTCAACAACTGTAGCTCTTATTTTAATACAACCATTTACTCTAGAGGGTGCCATCCAAAGTACCTAAACAATACAAAAGACATCTTGTAAGGCGAAGACTGTGAAACGAAATACTGAATGCTAAATTTAGTACTTGAAGTGAAATAAAAAATTTCATCTTTAAATAGCATGCCTAATATTGCCCTCTATAGGGCAATAGAATATTTTCACCAGTGAATTTACTATTGGGGCGGTAGAAGCTCAGAAAATGGTCACTTCCAAAAGTGGAGCACCTAGAGACCTCTTGACCTGCAGGACTTTGACCTGAGAGGCTGTCATTCCTTAGACATCCCGCATCGATATCCAGCAGGTTTTTGATGAGTTGATAACCTGCAGGACTTTGATGAGCTAAGAAGATGGCTGTCTTTAAATATATTTCAGCGACGACAAGTTGATAGGCAGGTCATATATGCCTAAGTGATATAGAGCAACGCACGATAGCGACCTTACATACACACAATATACTTAGTAAAAAAATAACCCAATTTGAATAGAGACAAATTTTACCTGGATCTCATTCTTAGGCTGCGAATCAGTCTGAACCACGGCATTTTGACAGCTGTCACTGAACTTCGTCGAAGTATCGCCGTAGAGTTGTAATGATCCTACTACTGATGACTCAGATTCTATGTTTTTCTCAAATTTTTCATTCGTGATGGACAAAATAAAGTGTGTAAACTTATGATGACTTGCGTTTGTTTTACTAAAACTTTTCAGAAGGACTAAAACAATTCATATTTATTTAAAAATGTTGCTATAGGGATATTTTTAATTTCAATCTCACAAAAATACAGTAAATATAGAAAAAAAAAGTACTCTAACGCGCAACTCTGTAGTAGTTTGTTTTTAAAAATAGTAATATTGATATATTACATTACAAACCTGTATATTGTTCTCCTGGTATGTAAAATTCCGGATTTGAGGATATTTCAATTTTATATTTGTCATTTTCTTTCTGTTTAGGGGAAGTTACACCCTCGGGTATCATGTCACATCTCAATCCAATGTTGCAAGACACAATTTTTATAAGAAAGTAGAGTTTGCACAACGTAGTGACCAATATCATCGTTTTTCTATAAAAAATCAGAAAAAATATGAATAGTGGCAGTCATAATATATTCATTCTGCTAATTTAGCAAGAAATCTTTTTAAAAATAAGAACAATTTTAAAAAATGAAAGTACTATCAAGGGTAATATGACCTTGATATAGTCGACATTATTAAATCCATATTTTAAGTGTTTTTAATATCAATTTGAATTGAGTCCGAGAGCTTTAGCTCGACGATTTTAATCTTTCATTATTAATGATAAAATTATGTCGAGACCTTAGATAAAAGAGACCGAAGATGTAACATTGCACACTGCGCATGTTGTCTGTTTTAACTCCAAGTAACCCACCAATTGAAAATCATTGTTTGCACGACGCCACCCGAATTGCTCCGATTTCCCATTCAACGCTTACCTCCGCCTGAGTTTCAATCACCATTGACAGCTGCTTTTGATTTATTTGTTGGTGTTTTAGCAATTTAAAGTGTTCTAGTTATTCAATTTTGTTGCAAAACCACTTACTTAACACAAAGTGGCAGGTTGCGGGTTCGGCCAGGAAGTAGGAAAGAAAACTCCGACGGCGCTTTGTTCGATTTATTAACTCTAAATAAAATAAGAAAAGGTGTGTCAGATATAAAGCCGCGGCTTACAAACAGCTCATAGTTTAATAAACGACAAAAAATTACCAAAATAATGCGAAGGAAGTATTCTTACTCAAACAACAATTAGTTAATAAAAATATAACTTACCTAAATACAGGTATGAACACAATCTTCGAAAAGTAATTCACGCACCAGAGGTATTCAGAATCAAAATCAGTCGCGATAAATGTGCGAATTACGAGTTTTTTCCAAAATAGTGTAAAAACTCGAATAAGCGTTAAACGGTACCTAGCGTGCCATCTAGACAACTAAAAAGGAACCCGAGCAATCGAACTACATAGTACTAGACAGGAGATTCCAGAAATAGTACCGATAGTGTCATCTTGAAACTGAAAAATGAAATATAAATCAAACCGAAATATAAATAAGATACAGGGTGGTACCTTGGTTCGTTACAATTTTAAACTCAAAATGCTACGATGTATCTTAAGAAATTGTATATACATATAATACAAGTACCAGTGTTATGAAATATAAAAAATATATTCGTTTTCAGCGGTAAATATTTATTAACGTTTTGACATAAAGCGCCATAATCCTTTAAGGTGAATACATCAGATCCGCATTAAGGGATTTCAATAAATATTCATCAAATACATTTCAGAAAACAGATTTCGTATTACTTACATAAATTTACAAAAGGGTAAAATTTTAAATATTTAATTTAAATAAGAAGTAAATAGACATTGTTGCTAACGAAATTTTGTTTTTAAAAAGTATTTTTATAAGAATATTTGCTAAAGGTGGTTTTTAGCTCTTTTTTGTAGATAAATAAGAAGTAAAGAAGCATAGTTGATTAGTAGTATTTTTATAAGAATATTAGATAAAATACAGGATGAATAACTTAAAATTTCAAGATAATGTAATAATCGATTTTAAAGGAAATACAAAAAGAAAGTAGATTTATTCAAAATAATCGATTAATTCAAAATAATCGATTTTTTTTGGAAAAATCGATTTATCGTTTAATCGGTGTTTTAATTAATCGATTATTTTCGATTAATCTATTATTTTCGATTAATCGATTATTTTCGATTATTCGATTATTTTCAAATTTCAAAGGTATTATATGAAAATAATTGATTAATCGAATATAATTCGTTATTTTATATAACCAATATTTCGGTTATTTTTTAGAAATATCGATTTATCGGTTAATCAGTTTTTTAATATTTATTAATTATTTTTGATTTATTGATTTTTATCGATTATTTTAGATTTTTCAAAGATAATAGAATAATCAATTTTAAAGGAAATATGAAAAGGATTATTAGAAAATAATCGATATTCGGTTATTTTTTTGGAAAATAGATTTATCGTAGAATCGTTTTCTTGATTAATCGATTATTTTCGGTATTTCAATGATAATCGATTTTAAATGAAATACAATAAAAATAAATTATTGATAATAATCGATTGATCTCAAATAATCGATTATTTAAAATAATCGACAATTCGGTTTTTTTTGAAAATCGATTTATCAGTTTATCGACTTTTTAATTAATCCATTATTTTCGATTTTTCAAAGATTATCAAATAATCTGTTTCAATGGACGAAAAAAAATGGATTATTTGAAAATAATCGATTATTTAAAATAAACGATATTTTCTTGTAAACACTGATTTATTGGTTAATTGGCTTTTTAATTAATCGATTATTTTTGATTTTTCAAAGATAATCAAGCAGTCTATTTTAAAGGAAATATGAAAAACAAATAGATTGAAAACAATGGATTGATCAAAAATAATCGATTATTTTCAATGATCGATTATTTATTTCGACAATCACTCATCCTCTATATTAATTAAAATTCCAAAAGAAAGAAGCTGAGGTTACAATACAAAACAGCATTTTCTCATTTTGACTAATTTTTAATATTATGTAATAGCCGTAGAAAAAATATAATGTTTTACTCAAAAGGTTTGATTTGCAGTATTCGCCTGCGCACATGCTTTTTTATAACACTCGTAGACAATGAGTACCATTTCTTGCTCTATTAACAATATTCTATTTCAACATTTTACTGTAGTATCTTGCTGAAAAGTCCGTAGTAAATAAACGCTAACGAAATATTCTATAAAAGGTCTTCTTTTTACATAAAATGTTGTGCATCTGTTTAATATTAAAAAATTACGTTAATTTTATTTCATAATACAAAATTCCATTAAAAATATATATTTTAAATAAATCTAATAGTTCAATATGATGCTAATAAACAAAGTCCGGTCCTTGTCACAAATTTCGGATTTCTGCCCAGTTCATCCACTCCGTTAACCTTTCTTTAGAAATTAGCAACATTTGCGCAGGTTAAACACCGGTGTATGTTATATCCCTGGTCTCTTTTATCTAAGGTCGAGACAAATTGCAAAATACACGAAAAATTTAGTAACAATAGAAAAAGGTGCTAATTTATTAGAATCGAGTTATATTTAATAAGAATATTTCTAGAACACTAGATGCAACTTAAACAAATAATAACTTTCTAAAATAATAACTTTTTAAAATAACTTTTTAAAATAACTTTTTAAAATAACTTTTTAAAATAACTTTTTAAAATAACTTTTTAAAATAACTTTTTAAAATAACTTTTTAAAATAACTTTTTAAAATAACTTTTTAAAATAACTTTTTAAAATAAACTTTTAAAATAACTTTTTAAAATAACTTTTTAAAATAACTTTTTAAAATAACTTTTTAAAATAACTTTTTAAAATAACTTTTTAAAATAACTTTTTAAAATAACTTTTTAAAATAACTTTTTAAAATAACTTTTTAAAATAACTTTTTAAAATAACTTTTTAAAATAACTTTTTAAAATAACTTTTTAAAATAACTTTTTAAAATAACTTTTTAAAATAACTTTTTAAAATAACTTTTTAAAATAACTTTTTAAAATAACTTTTTAAAATAACTTTTTAAAATAACTTTTTAAAATAACTTTTTAAAATAACTTTTTAAAATAACTTTTTAAAATAACTTTTTAAAATAACTTTTTAAAATAACTTTTTAAAATAACTTTTTAAAATAACTTTTTAAAATAACTTTTTAAAATAACTTTTTAAAATAACTTTTTAAAATAACTTTTTAAAATAACTTTTTAAAATAACTTTTTAAAATAACTTTTTAAAATAACTTTTTAAAATAACTTTTTAAAATAACTTTTTAAAATAACTTTTTAAAATAACTTTTTAAAATAACTTTTTAAAATAACTTTTTAAAATAACTTTTTAAAATAACTTTTTAAAATAACTTTTTAAAATAACTTTTTAAAATAACTTTTTAAAATAACTTTTTAAAATAACTTTTTAAAATAACTTTTTAAAATAACTTTTTAAAATAACTTTTTAAAATAACTTTTTAAAATAACTTTTTAAAATAACTTTTTAAAATAACTTTTTAAAATAACTTTTTAAAATAACTTTTTAAAATAACTTTTTAAAATAACTTTTTAAAATAACTTTTTAAAATAACTTTTTAAAATAACTTTTTAAAATAACTTTTTAAAATAACTTTTTAAAATAACTTTTTAAAATAACTTTTTAAAATAACTTTTTAAAATAACTTTTTAAAATAACTTTTTAAAATAACTTTTTAAAATAACTTTTTAAAATAACTTTTTAAAATAACTGTTTAAAATAACTGTTTAAAATAACTTTTTAAAATAACTTTTTAAAATAACTTTTTAAAATAACTTTTTAAAATAACTTTTTAAAATAACTTTTTAAAATAACTTTTTAAAATAACTTCTTAAAATAACTTTTTAAAATAGCTTTTTAAAATAACTTTTATTTTTGGTTTATTCTGAAACAATTAATATTTGACAGTAACCGTTAATAAATATTACGCACATAATCAAGAATGCGAGTTACTTTAAACATAGGTTATTATCAGGCATCATGCATGGTAGTCGATATGAGATAATAATAGTCAGTGAAAATAGTCGAATTATTTGGTTTAAATTGGTTCTAACGATTACTAATAACTTTTTAAAATAACCTTTTAAAATTCCTTTTTAAGCTGACTTTTTAAAATGACTTTTTAAAATGACTTTTTAAAATGACTTTTTAAAATTACTTTTTAAAATGACTTCTTAAAATGACTTTTTAAAATGTCTTTTTAAAATAACTTTTTAAACTAACTTTTTCAAATAACTTTTTAAAATAACTTTCTAAAATTACTTTTTAAAATAACTTTTTAAGCTGACTTTTTAAAATGACCTTTTAAAATAACTTTTTTAAAAAACAATTTGAAAATAACTTCTTTAAATTACTTTTTAAAATAAATTGTTAAAATTACTTTTTAAAATAATGTTACGCAGCACCCTGCAGCGTGCTGCGGTCGTCATAAGTAAAGGTATTATTAT